GTGAATGAGCAAATAAATAATAATAGGGCAAGATGAATTGACCTCATCAACAAAAGTGGGCCTGACTTATTTATTTGGATTTTCTGAGTTAACACATGCAAATAGCAAACACAATTGGGGAAAAAGTAATTTAGGACCCAGATCCACTTCTTCAAGTGGATAAAATTTGTCCTCGCTACAGCTGCAGGAAGGGAAACGTATGGATTAAAATTCAACTTTGATTCTGCATTAGACCGTAGGGCCCACTGAAAATTACATCTCATGCATTCAGTTGAAATGGTTCGGTAAAGAGGTCTTTGTATGAATCTTCTGGTCTGGAGTGAACTTCACTTGAAATCCAGTGATGTACAGAAGAGAGATACCAACCTGATCTTGTTTTAATTTGGTAAGATAAATGACCATAACAAGACCCTAGATGCAGTAGGAAAGAATGGTTTGGTTTTGCTTTCTCTATGGACCTTGGGGAATGAGTCATTGCAACCTTGTATTAAAAAATGGACTGTTGCCAGCAATACTCAGTCAGTATAGCCTTCTACCATCAAATGTATAACAATGCTGTGAAGTCATATATAGTGTAGCAAGTAACTTTGTAAGGGATAGCTAAGGGCAGAACTTGAGCCACTGAATCAGCAAGGAAATTAAAAACAGCACACTCATGTACAGGCTTTGGAGTGTGAAATGGTTGAAGCTCTGACCCAAGAAGTCGACAGGCCGACAAGAGGTAAAGCGCTGCTTGTCCTGGTACTGGCTATGGGGGATGACCTAATCAGTGACCTAATGATCGAAGGGAAGCTGGGTGACAGTGACCACAGGCTGATCACCTTCACCATCCGCTGTAAAGCTGGCAAGTCAGTCAGCAATACAGAAGTCCTCAACTTCAGGAAAGCTGACTTTGACAAGCTAAGGAGGCTCGTCAGTGAGGCCCTAAGGGACCACAACCCAAAGGGGAGGGGAGTTCAGGAAGAGTGGTTGCTCCTCAAGGGAGCGATCCTGGATGCACAAGCTAAGTCTGTTCTGTCTCGGAGGAAAGGCAGCAAAAGGGCACAGCAGCCCCCTTGGCTCTGCAGGGAACTAGTGCACCTCCTGCATCTAAAAAAGAAAAACCTACAAAGGATGGAGGACTGGATCCACCTCCGAGGAAGAATACTCTGCACTGGTCCGGACCTGCAGGGAGCAAACTAGGAAAGTCAAGGCTGCGACAGAACTCCAACTAGCTACAAGTATCAAGGACAATAAAAAGTCCTTTTTTAGATATGTGAGGAGCCGGAGAAAAAGCAAAGGCAATATCAGACCTCTGCTAAACCAGATGGGACAACTGACAACCGACACCCAGGAAAAAGCCAACTTGCTAAATGGGTACTTTGCATCAGTTTTTCACCAGTCCCGTGGGGCGCCCCTGCCCATTACAGGACAGGAACGCCTGGGTGAGGGTGATTCCTTACCCTCCATCAATGCTGACCTTGTGAAGGACCACCTTGAGAGGCTGGATACCTTCAACTCAGCCAGCCGACAGTTTACACCCCAGCGTACTCAAGGAGCTGGCTAGCGTCATAGCTCAGCCCCTGGCACAGATCTTCGAGAACCCCTGGCGCTCTGGTGAAGTGCCCGAAGATTGGAAGAAGGCCAGCGTGGTGCCTATCTTCAAGAAGGAGAGGAAAGTGGATCTGGCAAACTACAGGCCCATCAGCCTGACCTCTATTCTGGGGGAGGTCTTAGAAAAAATTATCAAAGAGACTATTCTTAACAGACTGGCTGATGGCAACATCCTGAGGGATAGCCAGCACGGGTTTGTTGTGGGTAGGTTTTGCTTGACCAATCTTATTTCCTTTTACGACCAATTGACCTATCACCTGGACAAGGGAGAAGAGATTGATGTCATATATCTTGACTTTAAAGAAGGCTTCGATCTGGTGTCCCATGGTCACCTCTTGGCAAAACCTGGCTAACTGCGGCTAACCGCGGTCCGCTGGCTGGGGAATTGGCTCCGTGGTCGAACCCAGAGGGTGGTGGTTGAAGGAAGTCAATCGTTGTGGTGCCTTGTGACCAGTGGGGTCCCTCAAGGCTCTGTCCTTGGGCCAGCACTATTCAACTTCTTCATTAATGATGTGGACATTGGTATCCGAAGCAGACTGGCCAAGTTTGCCAACAACACCAAACTCTGGGGTAAAGTATCCACACCTGAGGATAGGAGAGTGATTCAGGCTGACCTTGACAGGCTCAGGAAATGGCCGTATGAGAACCTGATGGTGTATAACACCGGAAAATGCAAGGTTCTCCACCTTGGGAAGAAAAACCTGCAGCATGCTTATAGGCTCAGCAGTGCTATGCTGACTAGCACTACGGACAAAAAGGACTTGGGGGTCATTATTGACCAAAAGATGAACGTGAGCCTTCAGTGTGATGCTGCAGCTAGTAAAGCGAGCAAAAAGCTGGCTTGCATCCATAGACACTTCTCAAGCAAATCCCGGGATGTCATTCTCCTGTTGTATTCGGCCTTGGTGATGCCGCAACTGGAGTACTGCGTCCAGTTTTGGGCTCCACAATTCAAAAACAATATGAAGAAGCTTGAGCGAGTCCAGAGGAGAGCCATGCGCCTGATCAGAGGTCAGGAAAACAGTCCTTATGATGAGAGACTGAGAGCTGTGGGACTCTTTGGCCTGGAAAAGTGCAGGCTCGGGCAATTTGGTGGCCGCCTATAAGTTTATCAGGGTGTTCACCAAGATCTGGGGGAACATTTGTTCACCAGAGCACCCCAAGGGATGACAAGGTAAAATGGTCACAAACTCCTTCAAGACCGTTTCAGGCTGGACGTAAGGAAGAACTTCTTTACAGTCTGAGCCCCCAAGGCCTGGAACAGCCTGCCACTGGAAGTGGTTCAAGCACCTACTTTGAACACCTTCAAGAGACATTTGGATGCTTATCTTGCTGGGATCCTCTGACCCCTGCTGACTTCCTGCCCTGGGGCAGGGGGCTGGACTCGATAATCTTTCGAGGTCCCTTCCAGCCCTAATGTCTATGAATCTCTTCAAACTTTTTTTTTTTTTGATACTCTAAATAACTCCATCTGGATCCCATCTCCATTGTTTTTATAAATTGTACTGCTCACCTTTCCTCTTGCCTGCTGCTTGCATTTGCAGGCTACTTCAGGGTATCCAAGAAATACACATGAACCTTCCTGCAGAATCTTAATACTGATATTGTGCATGAGAAAAAATGCAGGGAAAGCATATTTTCTCAAATTTGCCTCTCAATGTGAGAGGGTGCAAAATCTGATAAATGTTGTATACCTGGGTTTCAACATATTTCTGGTTACAAATTTCAACTGCTTGGCAAAGGTGTGTGCTGATTTCTTCAATTCTGTCCTGTTCATTTGGATTATTTGCATCATACCATAACCCCTCAAAGACTAGCTTTTGCTATAAGTCCTTAAAAAATAAGGTACTACTAAGAGACTGTTACATGATCTGATAAGAATACAGTATTATCTAAAAAATTCCTAGGCTCATAGGACAAAGTCTTTGCATTATTTTTTTTTCTTTGCCTTTTAGGACATCTGAGCTTACTGAACCCTATGCAATTAATTGATAAAAGTCATTTTATCATTTTATGCAAACAGTTATAATGTTCACATTCCTTCCTCCACTCAAAGGGTATGGACTTGCAGGAGGATGGTTCCCAAATTAATTCACAACACTGTGAGGAGGTGGAAAGTCTTGGGTTTATAGTACTTTTATCATTACAAAATATGCGTGTTCAACAGGGTTGGTTGTTTTGGGGTGGGAGGTGGGTAGGTCCAGTCTCTGCTAATTTAGGGTACATTTACCAAAGTTCTGTTGTGAAGCTGAACTCTTTGGTGCCAATTTTCCAGCATAGGGCTGGCAGTTATCATGGGAACCGAATGCCATCATGTTTAAATAGCTCAAGCACCTTTAAAGATCCCAGCCAGATACTAAAGTCAAGCACTGGGACCCTCTCTAGCCCACTTCAGTATAGTAGGAGATGGACTTAAAATACTTACATGCTTAAAATACCTACTGAAACTGCTGTAGATGGCGGATCTTGTTAAAATGGAATTCTCTGTTTTACTTTTTCCTCAACACTTCCAACTATGTTGGCAAAATATGAAGTGCTGATGATATGGAATAACCTTTTATATGCAGTGTTCACAGTTTCTGAAGTTTCTGAACACTGAAGTGAGGAAACGCTCTGTCCTTTCCAGTCCTCGTCTATTAAATAACATTTTCTCTCTGTGCATCAGATAACCTGGTAAAGAGCACATGCACATGCACGATACTCCATTTCATCAACATGGGGCTCCCATGAGTCCTGAAATTTCATACATCAAAATGAACTCTTTTCAAATGTACTAGTGAGCAGAGTTTTTTCTAGTTTCTTTTGCACATGCTAATTACATCCAGCTGTTAAATGTCTATCTTCAGTACTAACTGAAGGACACCAGTAAAAAAAATAATTATTGGGAATGCATAGTGCTCATGAACTAAGGTCTGATTTTTGGTATTGGCCACAATCGTGTATTGGGTTTAATGTAAGCAGCATTGACCCTGTATGAATATGAAATACATTAATTGAAAATCATCGCAAATCCGTTGAAAATATGTTAGTTTGAACGTATTCAAAAGATAGCTGCAGTTCATGAAAAGTAGCATCCTCAAGAGATTCTTCAGGGGAAAAAAGCAAACCTCACATGAAAGATTTATTGGAAATACTGGCAGAGACCTGCCTGTATATGTGAATGGTCTGTTAAGCTGCAGCCTAAGTTTGTATTATCTGTATTACCGGCACCCAGAATCTGAGACCCCATTGTCTTAGGTACTAGACAAGTGACTACCTTTACCCTTGAGGATGAATCCTCTAGACAATGCCAAATTTTGTAGTTTTTCTCTGAGGACCATTGGAGCACCATGAAATGTGACAAAGTGACACCCTGTTGAACTGGGATTGCTTTGCTTATGGGATTTAACATTGGTTTTTAATTCCAGGTGAAGGAGGCTATGCAGAGAATCCACGACAGAGGCAATATAGGAAAGCTAATTCTGGATGTAGAGAAGGCACCCACTCCACTGGTGAGTGAAGGGCATTGCATATACAGTGCCTGTTACCACATAAATTACCATGTCAACAACTCCTGGAGAAATGTCAAGTAACTATTTTTGATACAGTTTCCTACTAAATACATGTCACGTTAATGGACAAAAATAGGAGCAATACTTGCGATCCTTTATTTGTATCCTCAGGTAAAATATAAATTGTATTTTTCTTCTGGAATGGATTTGCAGCAAATACAGTTGGATCTTTCAACCAAATGGCCATCTGTCTCTCTAAAAGTGTAGGCTTGCATTGCTTCTGCACTATATTATTGGATTCCTTTGATCAGGATAACATTGCTACCGCTATTTCTTGTTTTTTGATGGCAAACAAATAGTGGTTTCGTGTAGGGATTAAATTGCTACATTTGTGGGGATAATGCAGAGGATTGAAGTAAAAGGGGAAGAACAACATTTATTTTATCCTGTAAATACATAAGAGTAATCTCCTTTAAAACCTGTACTTTCCTATTGCTGTAGAAAAGTTAGGATATGTCTTTGCTAGGGATCAGGTAGCAATTTCCCTAAGTTCTGCTGAAAATGCTGCAATGTCTGTTATTGGGTAAAGTCTGAAAGATGAGGGATATCATGGATCTAATATTTCTAGTCAGATTTAGGCTAGCACATTATGAGAATGAAAGGGTAGATCAGA